GTGTGTGCGTGTGCGTGCGTGTGTGTGTGTGCGTGCGTGCGTGCGTGCGTGCGCGCGCGCGTGTGTGTGTGGGTGGTTGTGTGTGTGTATGTGTATGTGTATGTGTATGTGTATGTGTATGTGTATGTGTGTGTATGTGTATGTGTGCGTGTGTGCGTACGTGCGTGCGTGCGTGTGCGTGTGTGTGTGCGTGTGTGTGTTCGTGTGTGTGTGTGGGGGGGGGGCTCGTGGAAATGCTGTCGCGCGTCCGTGGGCCGTTGCGGGTGGTTCGTGGGCCGCGGCGAGCCCATGAGGTAACCGCGTGAACTTCTTGGGGGCACTGAAGCAGCAATGGAAGATGAGTCGAGCGTCCCGGGGATTCGCGCGGGGCAAGCTTAGGCCTTCTGTGGCCCGTCTTGCTGCTCTCTGTGAGAGACCTTATGGTCTGCTGGAGCTACGTGGAACACCCCAAAAGTCGAACAAACAATTGCGCGATAATCTGCCAAAACTTAACTTCTATAACTTTTCCAACCAAAAAAACATAAGAACAATGGACATCAATCATTATCATACCCACCGGTGTGATCCCGCACTGTTTTATTTCGACTGACCGACCGTGTCTGGCTGTGTTGGGATGTGTCGGTGTACTGCCTTGGTGTGCTGGGATCCGTGCGCTGAGGGCTGGGATGCGTGCTGTGATGTGCGTTAAAACGTGCTGGACGTGGCCCCCTTGGGTGTGTAAGGACGCGTGCGGGCATATTTCGGTGTGCGCTGGGGGTGCGGGGATGTGTGGATGTGCTGTGTTGTGCTGAGATACGTGCTGCGAGGTGTGCTGGGTTTGCTGTGATGTATGGGTGTTCTGTGAAGTGCTGCGATGTGTAGTGGCCGTGCCGTCCCTGGGTGGGCTGGGATGCTTGCAGGGATATGTCCGTGTACTGCCTACTGCCTCGGTGTGCTCGGTGCTGGGATGTGTCGGTGCACTGACCCGGCGTGCTGGGATGCGTGTGCTGAGCTGTGTGGGATGCGTGCTGAGATGCGTGCCATCCGTGGACACCCTGGGAGTGCTGGGCTGTCTGCTCTGGGCGCTGAGATGTGCGGACGTACTCGGCTGCGCGCTGGGGATGCTGGGATGCGTGGGTGTACCGTGAAGTGCTGGGTTACGTGCTGGGATGTGCGCCAGGTGTGCTGGGATTTGTGGGTGTGCTGTGATGTGCTGCGATATGTGCTGGCCGTCGCCCCCTGGGTGTGCTGGGGTGCATGCTGGGATTTGTCGGTGCACTGCCTCGGTGTGCTGGGATGCGTGCTGGCCGTGGCCCCCCTGGGTGTGCTGGGGCGTGTGGTCGTTGTGCTGAGATGTGCGGACGTCGGCCGTGCGCTGGTGGTGCTGGGATGCGTGGCTGTGCTGTGATGTGCTGGGATATGTGCTGGGATGTGTGTTGAGTGTGCTGGGATGTGTGGGTGCATTGTGGCCCCCCTGAGAGCGCTGTGATGCGCGCTTGCCGTGGTCCCCCTGGGAGTGCTGGGATGTGTGCTCGGTGTGCAGAGGTGTTCGGACGTACTCGGCTGTGCGCTGAGGGAAGTGGGAAGTGTGTCTATGCTGTGATGTGCTGGGACATGTGCTGGGATGTGTATTGAGTGTGCTGAGATGTATGCGTGCACTGTGCCCCCCCCCCTGGGTGTGCTGGGGAGGCACAGGGGAAAGGGTAGGCACAGGGGAAAGGGTAGGCACAGGGCACACGGGGGGCTGGAAGGCACACGGAGAGCCGTTGGTGGATTGTCGGTGGGGTGCCTCCTCCCCCTCCTCCCCCTCCTCCTCATCCCCCCGCGGGCCCGAAAGATGCCCGACAAGGCCCTCCAAAGCAACACCCTTGCTCCCAGAGATCTCTCTGTTCAGCCTAGTCGCCGCTTTGTGCCACAATATGTTGCTTTTCGTCGCTTGCCCCGTCAACTCCGATTGTAAAGGTTTCTGAGCAGGCTGTTGGGAATACGCGAAGCGTGAATGAGCCTACCACACAAAAACGCGTGGGTCCTCCCCCTCTGCCCCCTTTTCTGCCCCATGGGGAACCGCGGCTCGTCAACACAAGCCCTGGCCTGAAGGGAGCACGGGAGGGCACGCAGGATGGAAGGCGACCCGCACCTCCGATGCGTCGATGTTCCAATCTCCTTGGCCATCCACCTTCGCGTTCTCGCGCCCTTGACCCGCCCTCGAGCCGCTCTGGCCCAGACCGCGGCGCGCAATCATCTCCGACCCCTGGCCCCTGGTCCCATTGACCCTTGACACGGGGCCGCCTCTTGTGATGGACATCGAATCCAAGGGCAGCATCCGAGTGCAGAGCATAGCGATACAGGCAGACTCCATAGAAAGCCGATTCAGAATTTAGAGCTCCTTGGAAGTCAGCATCGTTTCAGGGTGGGCCGAAAAAAAGCAGGGATGCAAGGTTAACCTTCATGAAACAACGCATCCTTACTTGGCGGCGCGCACAAGGCGGTAGGGGGAGGAGGGAGGGCTTCTCAGGAGGTTGCTTCTGAGAAGGCGCGGGCCTTGCATCTACAGAGAACGCCCGGGGCTTCTGAGAAACAACCTCCTTATAAGAAGCCTTCCCCCCTCCCCATACCCCCCTTCTGCGCGTGGCGGACGTACTATTCAATGTGACCGTACACCTCTGGCCCGAAGTTCCCAGTCGCGAGAAGTCTGGGTTCTCCCCCCGATACAGACTCCCCCAGCGCTCGAACTAGATCGCGTTTTTGGTTTCGCTGCGTGGCTCAACTTGCCTGACAACAGCAATCTTGACGTTTTGCAAGCGCGGTGCCTGCGCAAAACGGCCGCGCATGGGCCATTCCTATTACAGCCGCGTCTGCAATACGACTGTTTTGCAGACCGGTGGATGCTGTAAACTCAGCGCCACGCGTGCGTACAGGCAGGCGTTGGGTCGGATCGCAGCTCTACCGAACGACGTCTCCCTTCGGTTGCGCGAATTTGAACAGCATCCCTTCCCTTTTTCAAGGGTAGACGGCCCAGAAACACGCGAAAACGGAAAGTCCACGAATTGGCCGTCACAGCGGCCGGAAACAACAACGCGCTGCACGGAATGTTACAAGGCCCGCAGGGCACGTGGCGGGTAGCTGCCAGGCGGTTCGTTTTCGATTCGTGATTTTTTCCCTACCTAGGCTCTGCCTAGAAGGGTTCTTACTCGGTGTGCTTAAAAGGCCGGGCAGTGCAACTCGCCCCGGGCGGTTCCCCCAGTATCCGCCCCGCGGTTCTCCCAGCTACGTCCCCTTAGTTTACCGTTGCTTATCTCATCTTAACGTGGCCTATATCATCTTAGCTGAGCTTAGCTTCATCTTAGCTCAGGCTCATCTTAGCTAGCTTACCTTCATCTTAGCTTCGCTGAGCTTTATCATAGCAGCACACAGCACAACATAGCGTAGAACATCATAGCGCAACAGCGCATATCATAGCAAAGCCCAGCATGGCAGATCATAGCGCAGCATAGCATAGCATAGCATAGCATACCATAGCGCAGCACAGCACAGCACAGCACAGCACCGCGAAGCATAACATAGCATAGCATAGCAGAGCAGAGCATAGCACAGCAGCAAGACAAAGGCAAAGCGACAGCAGCGACAGCAAAGCAAAACACAAACAATGCAAAGCAAAGCAAAGCAAAAACAAAAGCAAAGCATAGGAAAGGCAAAGCAAAAACAATGTGCGACAGATGCCGAGCTAGCCTCGATGGCCGGACCGGAACCCCCGCAAGCAATGCCTTCCGTAAACATTTCGGCTCAAGTCTTAGCTTTAGCTTCGCTTTAGCTTAGCTTTACGGTTACTACTAAGGCTGCTTTCCTAGGGGCTCCAATTCCTAGGTAGGGTCGCACTGGGACAATTATCATGTGATTAAGGGGATCAACCACCAAAGGCGGAATGCCGCCTCAGCTCCCCCGCCCGCCTGGCCTCCAGGTGGTGTCGTCGCTCCCTCCTCCGCCGTCCTGCGTCGCTCCTTTGCCTGCTGCCCCCTCCCGCTCGTCCCTGGGGCCATCGCCCGGTCAGTCGCCCCCCTCCCCGCCTCCTGGTTGTCGTCCCGCATTGCTCGCTCTCCTCCCTCCCCTGGCCCAAGGCTTGTCAGTCGTTCCCTTCTCTGCCTCCTGCTGCCGTTGCTCTTCCGGGTCGTCCACCTTGGCGGGCCTCATGGCGAGGGGGATGTGCATGTCCTCTCCACGTGCATGTACAAATTTTCAGACCTGCCCTGTCCGCAGTTGGCGACGATGAGGGTGTTCGAGGTGTTTCACGGCGTTCGGCTGCCGTCGCGTCGGCGCAAGTGTTCCTGCCCATGCAGCTCTGACGTGCACAGCGTATTCTCTCTCACTCTCTCTTTTGTGTTCCTTCGTTCTGTCTCCATTATGCCTCTGCTGTGACACGGACTCAACATGAAGACAGCCCACGAAATCGTCAACACGCGGTTTATAGCTCGAGCCCCGGCCTCCCCCGCAGGCCTCTCCCTCGGGTTCTGCGTCCTGGCCAAGACTTCGAGAGGGACCAAGCCGTTGCGGCGAGAAGCCTCCTGAAGGTGCGATCATACAAAACACGACAGCGACCGAGGTGGATATGAGGTAGTTTTTGTATGAGGACGCGGGCTGACGACTAGCCTCAGCTCTCTCAGAAGCAGGCGACGGCGAGCGAGAAACCGACCGGCGACCGATCAGCCATGAAAAGCGAGCGAGGAAACACAACCTCGCGCAACGGCACGCGCGCAGGCCACAAAGAAGATAGAAAAAGTCCAACATGCGTAGGCATCAGCTTGAGGAGGTCCGCGCGGATTTCTTTGATCGGCGCTGGACCCCTCTCCTAGGCGCGCGGAGCGAGCCAGGGGCGGCGCCGCAGACGCCGCCACGGGGGTCCATCGCCGATACAACGAATCCGCGTGGAGCTTCAAGATGTATGTGCTTTCAGTTTGTGTTACTTGAGTAGGGGAATGATGAGGAGGAGGATGAGAAGGAGGAGGACGAGGAGGAGGGACTGGTGCTCCTCTACCTGGCGCACTGTGATGTTGAGCTGGTTCAGCTCGTCCTGGGACTTTGCGACCCTCGTGCGGGCCTGCTCCACCTGACTGGCAGGCTGCTGGGTCCCAACCGATCGCGATACGCGCAACATATCCTCCTGGCAACCCCGACGACGACGACGTCGTCGTCGTCGTTTCGGAGGTTTTCGGTGGCGATCCCGAGTGCTTTCGTCACCACGGCCAGGCGCGGCTCGCAAACCTGGCCAAGGTGGACACAAAAGGGACCCGAATGACCGATTCGAAACAGACTCTGGTCATCCGCGACGTCGTCGTCCTCCTGCCCACGCCACTCTGGAGACCTCCAGGAAGGGGTCCGAGCAGATGGGGGTCGGAGGATCGCGCAACATCCCCGATGCATCGCCGATGTAAAGGCGACGTCGGCGATGCATCGCCGGAGTCAGCGCGTAGAAAACTGGGCTCCACATTGCATCGCCGATGCGGCGCGAGTAAAGCCAAGCTTCTTGGGATCACTGAACGGCTCACTCTGCGTTTACCCTGGTCCTCCTTACTCTGGTCCTCCTCCTCCTCCAAGGTCATGAGGTGCAAAGTTCAAAGGGGGACCAGCTTACGTAGGTGGAGAAACTTCGACCTGGAGTCGGCGATACATCGCCGATTGATCGGCAACAGGCCCCCGATAGCGACACCGCACGTTCATTGGCGGAGAAGGCAGCCAGGCCTTTATCGCCGATGAATGGGTGATAAGGGGTCGGTGCACCCCATCCCAAGACAAGCTTCGATCCTCGTCGCCTGGTTTTCGGCTCATACCTTGGATACCCGGTGGCCGTTCGGGACGATGTGGGCACCCCCAGAACGCTCTCGGCGAGGCGCAGTTGCTGGAGAGCATCCCGAGGCAGGAGAACCACCAGGAACCAACGAAAATACACGAAACCCCAATGGGGTTACAATTCGTCTTCCTCTTCCTCCTCCTCTTCCTCCTCCTCCTCCTACTCCTCCTCCTCCATGGCTGACTCTGTTCCTCCTCCTCCTCCTCCTCCTGCTCCTCCTCTTCTCCCTTCTCCTCCCGTGCGTCAGACAATTCAAAATCGGCCGATCCGGCGTGTGAGTTTGAAAGAGCGTGGGCTTAAGCTTCGCTCGAGCTCCGCTCTGTGTGGGGGGGCAGGTGCGATGTGCTCCGCTTTCCGCTCCGTCGCAACTCCGCTCCGCGTGTGTGGGGTGGGGGCGATGTGCTTCGCTTTCCGCTCCGTCGCAGCTCCGCTCTGTGGGGGACGGGGGGGGGGGACGAAGGAGGTGGGGGGGAGGGACGAAAGGGGAGGAAAGAAATGACAGGCAGGGGAGAAGGAGAAGGAACGCACAGGACTGCTGCCAACAGCAGCGGGAAGCCCCCGGGATCGGCGGCACTGGCCGGAAGCCAACACAATATCGCGCAACTGCTCAACAGCTCTGTGGCTGCGCATATAGAGATCAAATCGAACAATTGTTCGACCCGCGGCACAGCAGCCGCAGCGCCGAACTGGTTGCTCGAAGTCATTTCTACTCTCATGCAGCTCCACTTGGGGGTGGCGAAAACGGGGGGGGCAACCAAACCGCCGCTGAGACAGCCAAGGGGCCGCTCAAAAAACACCCAAACCCGCTCAGTAAACAGCCGCGCGTGCATCTGTGCGTAACAGGGCGCAACGACCGACCTCGGCGCTATCGAAGCTGTAGACTTCGGCGCAGGCAAAAACCAGAACCTCCTCGCCGCACCGCCGGTGCCCGAGAGGCACAGCCGCCCGTCGCGCCGCGGGCGCCTCGTGCCGGAGGGGGAGTAGGGAGCCCACAAAGGACGCACGCGCCCAACCAAACATATGAACACAGCCTCCCTGTTCGCGAGACAGGCCTCGTATTTTGGAGCCGCGCACAAGGGAGTAAGGGGGAGGGGGGGAGGCTTCTTAGAATGAGGCTGTTTCTTAGAAGGCAACGACCTTACATCTATAGCTGAGGCCCGCGCCTTCTAAGATCAAGGGTGCTTCCAAAAGGCCTTCCCCCCTCCCACTACCCCCCTCTGCGCGTGGCTGCGATCTACTGGTCAGGGTCAATTCAAACCCGGGTCAGTCGGGCTCTGCAGGATCCCGCAGGACCCTGCACGCAAGCCAGGTCAATGCACCTCTGGCTCTGCAGGGTCATGTAAGATCGGGCGCTCTGGCTGACACCCGTTTGCGTTAGCCCCTGTCTCAAGGCTCCCGACTCAGCAGGGACCGACTGTCCTGGCATTCCTATGCATTCCTACGGTCCTACCACGACATGTCCTCATAACACAAGAGCGGTCCAAAGATGTTCTGAAATCGTCTCGCGCAAACGACAACAAGTTCTCAGAACTTTCTTGGGTAGGCCTTTGTCTACGGGCCGCTGGCCTCGAGGAGGGGCCAGCGAGCCGGCTCGACGTTCTCTCCGAGTAGCCACATTTTTACACTGACAGCTTGCTCCTGTCTCGGTCCGAGGACAGGAGCAAGCCACGTGGTGCGTCGCCGAGACTCTCGGAGACGCACCACAAGGCTTAGAGTTTTGGAAGAAAGCGACATGCACATGTACTTCCGGAGGTCAGCACGGATTTTGCGGATCGGCGCGAAACCCCTCACTGACGCGCGGAGCGCGCCAGGGGCGGCGCCAAAGGCACCGCCAGGGGGGGCCCAACGCCGATCCAAGAAATCCGTGCGGAACTCCGAAGGTTCATGTTTATGCGTTTTGTTCCTTACTAGCGCTTCGCTGGAAGTTCAAATGGTGGTTAAAAAAGGCCACCGAGGAGTCCCGCAGGCGGGGCGGGGAGGCCCTAGACCGCTACGACTGGCAGCCGTTTCGCCTGGGACTTCCTCACCATGTATTTGGGATCCGTGCTCTCGCCTCAATGACGGCTACATGTTTGGCATAGACTCCTGGCTGCATCTTTCTCTGTAGCGGTTCGCTTGAGGGTTCTACTAGAACTCCCACAACAAGGAACAAGGAGCCCTGGCCACCCGTTCAGGCAAGCGTTTTCTTGAGTCTTCCTCAATTGATTCAGAAATCTCATCATCGCCTAGATGCCGGCTACAATTTGATCTGGTCCGCCACGGTCACTTGCAATAAGGTGCACATGGCCGTGCTCTGGCTTCAATGTCGGCTACATTTTCGGTTCGCACAGACGATCCCTTGAACAAACATACGAAGGCGCACATAGCCGTACTCTCATCCCTGTCCTGGCTGCATCGTTTCTGTCTCAGGGTTTCCCGACCGTGCTTCTCCTACTCCATGACCCGCCTCTCCATCATCGACGAAACACCCTGGGTTTGCTACTTATGTGAGGACGATGCTGCACAGCTCTCGGGTGCCTTCTCCGCCTCCTCCTCATCCCCCTCCTTTTCCTGCAAACCCTTCTCCTCCTCCTCATTCGTCGCAAGGGTCTGGCACGCAGCAGTTTGATCTGAGCGTCACCGCCGCAGCACACGTCAGATCTGTCCTTTAGCGTTCCAGCGCCGCAATGGGATGCTTTCGAGGCGCGCGTGCTTGAGTCGCCCACATCTGCTCACCGCGTCCAGAACGAACGTGCGCCCCCCCAGCGGTCGTATGCAACGCCACTCTGCCAAAGCTCCTCCGCGGGGTGGGCTATCCGGGTTCTGTCGGCGATGAGTGGGCGATTGGGGGTCGGTGCATCTTTCAGGTTGCTGGGGGGCCTGCTCTGGATGGGCACCATCAAAATACGTCAGGAGGTGAACGGGAGCAGATTCGGCACTCAAAGCCCATCTAGAAAAGTGGCCCAGGGGTGACAAAGATCGAAACCCGTGTGCATAGGTGGTGCTCACCCTCTCTAACGACTGTAACAGTGATGCCCACCCAGCTGGTTCAAAAGTGCATCCCTGGAACACAATGCAAGTCGAAGAGGTCCGCGCGGAGCTCCGAAAGTGTATGGGTAAGCGCTGTGATATTGGTATACTTCCTTTATGGCCTGTAAACGTGCCGTTGCGCGAGGCTGTCGCTCCTTGCTTGGACCTCCGGCAACCGATGCCTAATCGAGAACTTATGATATTCAACCCCGTGGTTTGATGAAATTCTGAAAAAAAGTTTTCCCGGCAGATCGTAGCATGAAGGACGTTGTGGATGATGATGGTGGGGATGATGATGATGCTGCTGCAGGTATCCTTGCCCGCGCTCTGCGCATCCTAAAGCTGGCCCGCGCTCTCGCGATTCTAGTAGTAGTCGTCGTAGTATTACTAATAGTAGTACTCGTCGTAGTAGTAGTAGTGGTAGTAGTAGTAGTAGTAGTAGTAGTAGTAGTAGTGGTAGTAGTAGTAGTAGTAGTCGTAGTAGTAGTAGTAGTAGTAGTATAGTGGTAGTAGTAGTAGTAGTAGTAGTAGTAGTAGTAGTAGTAGTAGTAGTAGTAGTAGTAGTGGTGGGAGTAGTACTTGGAATGGTAGTAGTACAAGTAGTAGTGGTAGTAGTGGTCGTGGTGGTGGTAGTAGTAGTGGTGGTAGTAGTAGTAGTAGTAGTAGTAGTACTAGCAGTAGTAGTAGTAGTAGTAGTAGTAGTAGTAGTAGTAGTAGTAGTAGTAGTAGTAGTACTAGTAATCGTAATCATAGCAATAGTAGTGGTAGTAGTAGTAGTAGTAATACTACTACCAGTCGTAGTCATGGAAGTAAATATACAAATTATAGCGGAGATAAAAAAAAACATATTTTTGTTGGGGCAATGGGGCTATATGGGCTATATGGCTATAGGGGTATGGTGATATAGGGCAACTGAGCTAGTGGGCTATAGGACCTTAGGGCTATAGGGCTATATGCCTATAGCGCTATAGGGCTATAGTGCTGTAGGGCTCTAGAGCTACAGAGCTCGAGGGCTCTAGGGCTATAGTGCTATAGGGTTATGGGGCTATAAAGCTATAGGGCTATAGGGCTATATGGGCTATATGGGCTATTGGGCTATTGGGCTGTTGGGCTATAGGGCTATAGAGCTATAAGGCTGTATGGCTATATGGCTATAGGGTGCCAGAGAGCCCCCGGGCACCTCCGGGCACCCCCGAGCACCCGGGCACCCACAGGCACCCACGGGCACACGGGCATCCCAGCACCCGGCCAC